ACCACCACCACTACCACCACCACCACCACCACTACCAACACCACTACCACCACCACTACCACTACCATCACAACCACCACCACCACCACCACCACTAATACTACTTATACCACCACCACCACCTTTACCACCACTACCACCACATACCACTGGGCGGCGGTGTACTTGCAAGGGACTGATCACTACCGCTGTTTGCGGAGTGCTAGGGCCGCTGATCACTGAGCGAATCTCCTGGGCGTGAGAAGCTGCTATGGGCATGGGTCGCACTCCTGGGCTGGCAGAGTGCAGGATCCTGTGTGTATGTGACTCCAGGATTGTTCGGGGAACGTTGAGGCAGGAGGTGGGAGGATGATGTGTGCTCTTTCCTCCACTGACGGGAGGCGCGTTCAAAGGCAGCGAGTGGTGGTGGTGCTGCACGTGAGGTTGTGAATAAGATTGCGAGTGAGTTTGAGTATGGGATTGTGAATGAGATTGTGAGTGATGTTGTGGGTGAGATTGTGTGTGAGATTGTGGGTGAGATGGTGAATGAGATTGCGAGTGTGAATACGAGTGGGGAAGCGAGTGAGACTGCGATGAGGAGATGACGTTTCGTACCGTCATTTCGGTCTCCCCCTTGATCTGGATACCGAGGACTTTAGCCAGCACGCTGTGTGAGGAGGAGGAACCGGCACGTGGAAGAGGCAGGCTACTGGAGGAGGAGGAGGAGGAGGAGGAGGAGGAGGAGCTGCCGTGGCCGGGGAAACTGTCCATCATCGCACCGGCCACATGGACGTTCTTCATCTTGCCTTTGACGTGGGACGACGACGACGACGAAGATGAAGACGAGGAGGAGGAGGAGGACGATGAGGACGAAGAGGTGGACTTGCGACCGCCCCTCAGCTTGGCGATAGGGATTTTGAGGGCCTGTGTGGGCAGACAGACTTTGATCTGTGGCAGGCTGCTCTGATTGCGTCCACCGCCAGACTTCAAAGTCGTGCTGGTTGGGGAGAGAGAGACAAGAAAAAGCTACCGATAACTTGTCTGTTTGATTTAGTAAGAGTTTTACGGCACTTGCAACACAATACGGTCATATAAGAGCCTAAGACTAGAGGTGTCACAAGAGAGCAACACACATAAAAAAGGAGGGCAGATAATGACGATAGACGATTGATAGGAAAGAAGCAAGAAGCAAACCACACCAGAGCACCCGCCAACCACCCACCAAGAAAAAGTTACCGATAACATGTCTGTTTGATTTAGTAGCACTGCCCTGGGTGGGCGTACGTAAATTCTTCACCCACGAAATACGTGGAACCATCTCTACCACAACTTGATACGAGACTCCAGTCCTCCCGGGGAAACAATACAACTT